ATATAATAATAAATAATAATAATAATAAATAATAATAATAAATAATAACAATAATAAATAGTAATAATAATAAATATTTGTTGTAGTAGTAGTAATGAGACCATCAGAAATAATGATAATGATGATTGCAAGAAGTAAAGTTACCCATTTTTATACAAGACAGATATTTGCGTCCGTATTTGCAAAAAAAAATTGATAATAATGTTAAAGTGAGAATATTAGAAACAGAAACAATAATGATAGTAATGGCATAAGAAAAAAAACTTATCAGAAATGAGTATTACTATACAAGACACGCATTTTTTAGTAAAAAATATTGATTTCTAATGATGTTTTCAACTCTGTGATAGTTATTAATATAAAGATGATGTGTGATATTTGTGCAAGATCTTGTTGCGTAATGAGCCTTTGACTGAAGTCATTACTCGGCTTCTTGACTACTGAATTATTTGAGTCATACAACATGAGAGCTAGAATTTTGTAAACAGAAACTTTGCAGATTATGCTTTATAAAATTTGAAATTAAAATAATATAGGTGGAGAAGACATGTAGATGTTGTGTTGAAAAATTCAAATTTTACGACGACTTCAAATAAAATGTTATGAGTTGATGGATGATGTTGTTGCATTTTGGGGCCACTATTAGTATTGACCACTAGATTAGGAATAGAATATGTATTAGAATGGATCTAAACTAAACTTAAAAGTTGTGATTGTAAGGTCGATTGTAATGGGAGGGAAGGTTAAGATTGATTTAGGAGTGGTAAAGGGATGAGCGTTATTACCTGATTGGCTATCTATTGTTTATTAGGTGATGAGTACAGAGGTCAGCGATAAAATTGGACTAAATGATGCTCTGGGACTGTTTTAGGATTATTGTGATTAACAGAGAGTTGCTGTGTGAACCATGTTAGCATTACTAGATGCTAGCAGTCTTTGTTTTATTATTGTCATCATGTGGAAACTTTGAATTGTAAAAAGTTTTGAACATAAGTTTGTAGATTGATTAGTGTGGGAACTGAAGATTTTCTTCTTATGTGTACAATTATTGATCATTTTTAGTTTTTATTGAATACAGTGCACTCATATAAGTGTAATTCTAGGTGGAAGGGTTCGCGTTCTTGTCATATCGAAGCGATTATTTTTCGGTGAGTCGTTTGCTCGCATTTCAAACATTTCAGTCAGAAAATTGACTAAATTCTTTATGATAGCTAGAGAAAGCGTCATGAGAGATTGCATATAAAAGATTTTGCAAGATTTACTCTTTTGTATGGTACTACTCAACTTTCAAATGCATGAAGTAACGGTATTATGTTGATTAATTTGCAAAAATTCATGGTACACGGTTAGTGCATTCGTATGATATCGAGATTGCTCTTAGGCCCCGAAGAATAGGCATAAATTTTGTCTCTCCCCGTGATGCATTCTTCACTTATTTTGTCTTTCGGAATTATTGTTGCTAGTTTTCCAAACGAGAAATTATTTAGAATTGTAGAAGAGTTTTGAACGAAATAGACAGAAAAAAAATGTATTATTCAGAATTAACTTCAATATGTGATCAGATCACATATTAGTTTTTTACAAATAATATGTCGCTCAAATAGCGGCAGATTGTTATAAGATGAAGCAGATGAAATAAAATTGCACCTTTCTGTGGAAGAAAATAATCATGAATTACATGAGTATCATGTTGGGCATTCACTAAATTATAAATTATTTCAGAACATGAAAGGACCTGAAAGTACTCAATGCACTGCCAATAGTATTTTGTCCAATCCTTATGCAGGCATTCAATTTGCCCTCGAAAAACGACGCCGAAATCTAGAAAAGCGCAAGGTATGTGTTGTTTTGTTATTCTCTAATCCTCATTTTCACTCTTCGTCATGTTTAATTGCAAAATATGAATTTCAACTAAAGAGATAGTTCAATTACATGATTATAGAGTCGCCTTCTTCAATACGATACAGATTTGAAAAATGGTAAAAAACTCAGTGAACAGCAGAATGAAGCTCGATATTGTATTGGTGAAGTTGAGACGCAGCTTGATTTCTTGAAGGAAATCGGTAAAGTTATTCTTTCGCTTCAGAAAGACTATCTCCGTAGCGTTAAACAGTGGGAGGATGGATTGAAGAAAGAAGTACGTGATGAATTCTTTTCTTACCTGTTATAATATATCTACTGATTTAGTTTTCATCTATTTTAAATGAAAAAAGTATAAGGTGTACAATCAAAGAGGTTTGTTGGTTTCTCACAATTTATTTTTTGAAACTTTTAACGTAAAAATGAAATATAACCAACTATTTATCGGAGTAGAAATTTAAGATTTTAAATGAGAATTGCTAGTTCCAGAAAGAAGATGTATCTAATATTTTCTCAAATGATATGAAAATCTCTTTTTCAAAAAATTAAATGATTCAGGCTTCAGAAAAATTTTTTATTGTAGCAAGTTGAAAATAATCAGAAAGCACTGGATGATTTCGTTTATCTTCGTAATGTCATTGATCGATTCAACAGATTGGAAATGAAAGAAACTTTTGCAAAAATTACAAATGATGATAAAGTATGTTCTGATGAGTGCGCTTGTTTTGCTTGCTTTCGGTCTATTAAAATTGTTAGAACAGGTTCTTATACTTTAAGGAATGAGATTTCAGTTCAAGACATTTTTAATCTGCTTTAACTTGATTTCAAGAAATTAAAAAAGTATTATAAATATGGGCAATATATTAATTCTATGTATTATTATCGTTTTCGTGCTAATTTGAGAAAATAACTGAAAGCGAATGCAAATTGATGGAGAATTTATCGAAATCGTTCAATGTGCATGACGATGAATTTGAAAATTTAGAACAATTCAAAGAAAAGTGTTGTGAAAATTCGAATATAGCATATAAAATCCTTGTAGGAAGCAAGGAGAAAGTTATGGATAATTCCTCAGGTTATTCTGCAACTTTCATACCGTGATGAAATATTCAAGTCTTTGCTATATAGGTTCTTGAAATCTTTTATTTATTTCAGACCTTTTGTGGTTTCAGGACTAGAAATTAAAGAACTCGTAAATAAAGTTGCCAATTGTCAGCTTATTTTTGATGTTACTAGAGTTGACGACCAATTTGTCAAGCCTGTAGAATATCCACTAGAATCTGATTTTGAGCATCCAAAGGAAGATTTAAAGGTACATATGTATTCGCAGTTTATCTTCTTGATCAATCTACTGATGTGTCACCTGGAAAGTCGCAGTAGAAGGACTCTTTAAGTCTTGGTTATGAAGTATTTGATTACTCAAAATACACATAATTCTGGTGTATAAATTTTTAGGTAGTTTTTGTACATGTAAATGCTGGATCGACAGAAAATTGCGCGGAAAATGATGTGAATCAGATAGGAGATACAGAATTCGGTTTTGAGGCAGAGATTGATCCAAATGCACTTGTACGTGATCCACCTCCACCAATTCCTTTTCCTGCGACTGTTGTCCCAGAAGATCCTACCAATGCTGTGAGAAGTGATGATGGCAGCAGTGACTTCTGGGTCGTCGGTTGGATTTTATTTCTTAAATAGCTGTGCATTTGTAAGCGCAAAATTTTATTATTAGAGCACCCAAAAATAAGGTGGTTGTAGGATGATTAGTAAGTGAATATGCACTTATATTTGTTCATTTCAGTTTTTGTCCTAAAACGGAAAGTGTGTATGAGTTCATAAAGTTATGATTTAGTTCCTGATAATGGAAAATCATTTGTTGTTTATTGTTTGCTTCATTTGAACGGTGTATTCAAGTAGAATTGATGACCATATGAAAGTTTACAAGAGATTCCGGTCATTATCCAGTTTCTCTCAATATTAATAGTTTTATAGTTAATTCCTTTTTTTTCCATCATATTTTTCAGAAACGAAGCACAAAACATCTAAACGTCGTGGGTATGGAATTCAGAATGGTTTTGATAAGGATAGTGTTCAAGTAAATGGGTCAGAAATTCGTAGTAATGAACGCCGTTCAGTTCGGATTTCGAAAGGTAACCAAGACGGAGGGGATGGAAAAGGAGCCGATCTTGTGAAAAGTTCCGATGGAGAACAGCGTAGCTATGGTGGTGGCAATAAACGACAGGATCGTGATAACTTCGATAATTCTCGAAGTTTCCGTGGCAATTCTCGTGGTAATTTCCGAGGTGGTGGTAATACAGGTGGACGCAATGCTCCTGGTGCTGTCCGCCGTGCTTCAGGAATCCGAAGTTCCAACAATAATTATAGTAGTGGTCAAACAAATGGTTCAAGAGGGGGTAACGGTGTAATAAGAGGCTTTAATGGTTATGGTTGTAATCGGCCACCACAACCGCGTCGTCAGTTAGGATTCAATTTTGCTTCAGATGCGTTCTGAACATTATTGAATGCCGATAGCAAAATTAGCAGTGTGATAAACTGTTGTCAAGAACTGAATTATAACTGTTTTGTGAAAGGATTGTATTGCAGTTTTAACGCTTTATTTTGATTTTTAGGGAAGTTTTTTCTTCATTTTCTATTTTATTATTTATGTATTACGTTTATTCATTAGTTTTGTTTAACCTCGCAATGTATCCTCTTCCAAGCAGCTCTTTCAATTAATTTGTATTATTTAGAAGTCTTATTTTATTTATTTCCCTTGAAGTCTCCGATAGGGGTTTCTTACTTGCAGTTCGATAATAAGGACTTTTCGAAATAAGAGCGTATTTACTTCACGAGAAGGTTATGCAGGAGTTGTCATTTCATTCTTTTCAAATTAAAATGAGTTGTGGCTCATCATCCAGCACAGTTTTCTGTTGATGATAACTGTATCTCATCGACAAAATTTTCTCGCTTATTTTCGCTAGGATGGGGTGTTTTAATTCAAATTATGATGAAGATTTATTGGAATCATTCACCAGTAGGACTTATTTGAAAATATTTTAAATTCTTAGTAGTAATTTGGAGCAATCTAAATTGATTTGTATTCATGCCTGTTGATGGATGGAATTGTGGTTCACGTATCCCTCGGGATTGTACTGCTTCGAGTTGTTTATCTTTTGTCTCAGTTTTCGTGTGTTCCATGACTATCTCCTAATTGTACAACAGAACTAATAATTTTTTGAGGCTACTAAGATTTATAGGACAAATTGAAGTGTGTATTTAGAGCACATTTTTAGTGGTGGAAGAAATTGGTATGTTTAGAGATTCGTCTCTAAAAATTAGACTCGATAAATTTTTGTTTAGGTGCATGCTCTTGTCGGAAGCTGTACTAAATTCGAAATGACTTTTGTAATTATCAGAATGTTGCGTACTCACAGCTGCATATCAGAAACAGTGATTCTAAAAATTTTAGGTCTTTGGTTGGGATATTTTGATCAATGCAAGCTGACTTTGAGTGCGTAAAAAGAAGGGACTTGTTGACCACATGGACATCGCAGGTGGTATACATTTAATGTATTGAAGTATAGCATGATGGATTTTCGTTATTCAATTGCGTTGCTAATAGTCTTGGAGTAAGTACTGCAGTGCAGCAGAAGTGCACTGGTAAATTTTTCTAGAGTAGGAAAAGTAGCGATATTTGGGATGAAGAAAGACGAAGATATAGCTCGTTTCTGTTATGTTTGGAAAAGAACATACCAAGATTCTACAACAACATAGAGACCTTATCATTAGTAAATTCGTACAAGTCTCTAAATATAATAAGTCATTAAAGAGAATTTTTCATTAGTGAAAGGAGTATACTGTTCGGAATAGTGTTCATGAAATAACTAAGTCAGCTGAGGTAAGATTGTAAATTTGATGGAAGTTTTGGTAATATACCCTCAAGTAATTGTCTCACAAAGTCAGTACGCAAACGGTACTCAATAAAAGATTTCATACCAGAGAAGTCGTGACATATTTATTCGTTCATGAGCTGAAAGCTGACTGATTCTCACATGCTTAGTGGTTGGAAACTTTTGCTTCTTTTTTCATAGAAATCTCGATTTGCTATGATGATAGCTTTGAATTAGTAGACGATGTAGTTATTTTTTTGGCAATAAGCATATTCAGGAGTGAATTTGGAATTTTTGTGTATATTCAGTTGTTTACTATGTTATTCGTGTGAATATGTACTAAACTAGCAAGTGCCAGGTTTACTGATAAATTTCTGAAGTCAGTTGAATGTGTACTTTGGAAATAAAACATTTTGTTATTTGACTAACGAGCAAACATTTTAATGTCATCACTATCTTCCACATTCAAGTCAAGCTCATGCATGTGGGATAATCAGTTTTGAAGTTCTGTCTTGGTTTTACAAATCTCAGAAGGTACACTAGTTACTGTTGGTATGTGTGGACAGATTGTAAGATGTTTGTAAAATGTAATCTCTTATAAATTACAGAAAAAAAACTAGAGAAGAAAAAGATTTCAGGACTATCAAAGAGTCTTTTGTATTTAGTTAATGCACTAAAAGATGTGCTAAAATTAACTGCATTATTTAGTGCATGGAATGTCATCTATAGATGAATAAGTCATTGGAGCATGTATTTTAGCTTTATCAACTACTGAAATTAAAGAAGAAAAACTGGCTGTCAAGAGTGTAAGTTCACAGAATTTGTCAGCAGTTTCATTTTGTATACGTTTATATTCCGTTTATTTTTATAGTACTCTGTAACTAAATTTAACAAAGCTCAAGTCCTTGATTGTTTTTAATGCAAATGCATTAAATGAACCATTGAAATATTTGGTTTACAAATGAGTTAGTAGGTGACTGGTCAAATTTAGATGATTTATTTCTTTTTGTTCAAATACTACGAAATAAAAAAAGAAATACAAAATTTTCAGCAAAATATCACTACTGTATTGAGGATATACAGTAAGAAGGACAATACAGTAATTGTTTTTAAAAAAAAAGTAATTTAAAATCGCAAATTAAGAAGCATAAACATTCTTGAGCACTGTCTTTTGTATAGCAAAGATGAAATTAATATCACAACGTAGACGAAAGCTTAAAGTAAATGGAAGAGTAATTTTTTTGTATACTATATTTTCGAAGCATGAATTTATTAGCTATATAGAGATAAGAAAATCACATGCTTAAGCCTGTTTAATTCTATACATATGAAAGTGAGAGCGATCACTTAAAGACAAACCAAAACAAATACTAATTGTTTTTTGTTCCTTTTTTTTTTACTACTTCATTTACGTATGAGTTTATCTACCCATACCAATATCAATACCAAGTAGACACTTTGTCTCTTACTTTGCTCTGTTATGAAGTATAAAAATAAATAATCTGTACATGTCAGCATAAATAATTGAATAAATAATTTGATGGATAAATTTGTGGTAGCTAAAATCATATAATAATAATTGTACAAAATTATTCATGAACATCATAATAATATTGCACTCAGTATAGTACTTGTCGGCAGGTAAAAGGAAATATTTGCATATTTGGTCTCTCTTTTTCTTTACCGCTCAACAATTCTGACAAAGATGCATCTTACTTTAAACATTGCTACAGTTACTTTTATGTTCATATTTTTTACTCTGTAATTAGCATAATTGATACTGATGATGAAATAAGTGCATGTGTAAGAAACAGTATATCTTGAAAAGTTTTCCAAAGCAGACTACAAAAATGATTGATAAAGGAGATTGAAGTTATTTATTATTCGAGGGAAAGACCAAATAAATACCAAAATAAAATGTAGAAAAAAATTAAACTATGATTTGTAAATGAAATGTTGAAGAAAAGTAAAGTTGAAGAGGTTACTGTAGAGAGGAAAGAGGGAGGGTAAGAAAGAAAGAGAGGCAAATGGATTAATTGGCCACAAGGAAATAGGATTAAATGTATCTATGGTATGAAGTAGCAAAGGCAAAAAAGTGTTTGAATAACTTGCATATTTTTTATGAAAGTTTTTAATCATTGAATAATTGAAAATTTTAAAATGTACTTGTAAGCAAAAAACATATTCAATATTTGGTGGATTTTGTTTTTTGTGCTATGTGCATAGACCAGGTGAGATGATATTGCTCTTCAAACAGGTGGTCATTATTGATAATCGCAAAAATAGTAGACCTTTTTGTTATATTACAGCTTGATGGTATGAAAGGTAAATGAAAACGATTGCAATCAAAAAAAGAATCAAATCGAGAAAGGTAGTCAGTTAGCAAAGGAGGGAGAGAGCAACATGCTTTCCTCGTTGTGAGTCAACTATGTATCCATCATGAATTTATTTATCTATCAGTCATATATATCAATATTGTACAGAAAAAGAGCGGAAGAAAAATCATTGTATGTTTTTTTTAATGGCTTTTTGCTCTGCTTGGCTTTTATTTCGAAAATTTTAGCAGCAGTTGAAAATAAACGTGCTGTTGACTGACTGAATAAAAATTAAATAAAGATGGCAAATTGATAACATATAAATAATAAGAGATGTTGTACGGATATTTGAATCCTTTTACTTTTGTCATAGTCAATTCATTCCGCACTTTCTCCAAACATATTACTTTGTCAGAATTTGTGAGCGCGGAATATTATTATTGACATGCATGCATATGAATGATTGTACTGGTACTAATTACTTTATCAATATAGTGTTTTTGAGGACAGAAAGAGTTAAGACAAAGATGGAATAAACAGAAGGGAATAAGACTATGTAAGATTAGATAGGACAGGATTAGATCAGATTGGATGAGACGGGATAGGGATGTAAAGGGATGTGATAGGATAGGATGGGATGGGATGGGATGGGATGGGATGGGATGGGATGGGATGGGTGGGTGGTGACAAGGGAGTGGTGGGTCGTCGCTTTTCGCCTCCCCCGAAAGGGAGAGAGGGGAGATGACATTACACTGGCAAAGGAGTAAGTGAGTGAGTTGCCTCTATTCCTCATCTTCCTCTTATCAGCAGCAACAACAGCAACAGCAGCAGTGGTGGTAGCAGCGAAAAGAAAGAAAAGGACGGAGAGTGAAAATTTGTAATAAAGTAGTATTTTCCAGGTACCTACCTACCTACCTACCTTTGCCGCACCTTTACCTGCTTCCAAACTTACAGAGGCAAACACCGCAACTTCCTTTCTTGACACACTTTTGCTTATCGTTTTACTGGCTTTTCCCTTTCCTATTATCAACTTGACAATCCGTCACCCCGTTCCCCGGTATTTCACATTGCCCCCTTTGTGTTCGCTTTTTTCCCGGGGTAACCTCTCCCTCCTTCAGCACTTCTCTATCTCTTTCTCGCTCTTCTTCCTACCCAGTCATACTCTCGACTATTACCATCATCATTATCATCTTGATCTTCATCATTATCATCAGTATCATCGTCATCATCAAACTGTAAATGGATCGGCCCATTGTTGTCAATTCGCTTCTATGTTTCATTCACAATTACCGCCATAGTTTGTTACCTGACCAGTTAAGAACTTTGCTTGACAATTATTTTCCGAAAAGTGCCCGTTTAATGGCTCATGCAACACTAAATGATCTGTTGTCAGCTATTCCAATTTCGAGGACCCCTGTTAATGATTCTATACTTGATATGACCAACAGAAATGAGCATATTGAGGAAAGCTGTAGTAATAAAAGTAATAATGACGATAATGACAAATCTGATGATAACAATAGTGACTTGTTATGTTTGTACGATCGTGTTTGTACTTCCGATCAAACTCCAATCTTCGCAGCTGCTGATTTGAATATTTTACCTCTACAGCTTATTACTGATGAAGATGATTCCAAAACCGAGTTACTACGTGAAATACGTCAGTTGAAACAGTTTATTCAGAATGCTCTGAATGGACGGGTTGACGATTCGTCAACAACTCTTACAGACTGGTATCCATTATTTTTATTTTCAACTTTTTCATTCATTATCATTTAAATTTGGATACTGTTAAATGTAAACGTAAAAAGTACTACTTTATTATTTATTTGTAACAGTTATCTTTACAAGTAAGTTTTTTTTATGAAAACCAAATAAATTGCACTTCGAAATTTCATGAATAGTAAAAAAAATGTATCTGTATTTTAAATTATAAAAAGTTGAAGTAGTCGTAATTTGCAATATTTTTCAGTAAACATAGTATTAAAATATATCAGTAATACGAATTGTTTCTATAACTTGTAACAAAATTTCTTGAACCTCCAAATTTATTTTCAATGGAGTTTTCTTCTTTGCATAAATACCCGTTTTGATCTATTTTTCTTAGCGTTTTTTCTTGCTTCAGCGGTGTGCAAACAACAAATGAGGAACAACTTGATCATATTCTTCGCAGTCAAACGTCCTGTTGCTTGGGAATATCACCAAAGTCGAGCTTTAAATCACCTGCAAACCTTTTTATATCTTCTCCAGAATTATCGCCATCGACAAGTTCAATAATGAGCACACCCACTCCATGTTTATCGCTGATTCCAAATGCATTACCGCCACCTCTATCATCTTATCATCAGAGCATTTTTGGATCAACTAACAGTTATCTTGGTGCTACCTTTACACCAAATGATGTTAATCTTAACAACAAAAATAGTAATCAAAATGGTGGTTTTGGTATGAGTCCCAACTGTAATCGACGTAAAAGGGATGGATGTGGTAATCGTTTAGATGCTATGATTCGGAAATTGGCTGATCGTCAGAAAGAAAAAGAAGCTGCAGCTATGACTACTGTGTCAACAGTTACTTTAACCAATAGACCAGTTGGTACCTGTATAGGCTCAGGGTCTTCTGCCACAACCAATTTATCATTATTGTCTTCTTCTTTGTCTTCAAATTCTTCTTTCTCTTCTTCCTCTTCTTTACCATTGTCATCAGCTACCGCAGTTGTACCTTCGGAACGGTCATCACCACCAGCTAAAGCTATGTGGCATGCGCAAATGATTGACCCAATTGCTTATGTCAGCATGTTGCGTACGATGTCTGGTGCTGCTGCTGTAGCTACTGCTATCTCAACTTCTTCATCAGTCCTTCCTTCGGTTAACAAAATGGCGCAAAATGATCATCGGTAAGGATTGCGGTTTTTCTCCATTTTCCTTTCCTCGTTTATGTGCATGGAAGCAAATAGAAAAACATCATGTGATTAATTGCACTAATTTATATTATTCACTATTATTACTATGTTGAGATCATTGGGTTGAAGCGATTAATTACAGATTAATTACAGAACATATCTCTTATTCTTTTCCTTTTATCGATCGAAGTTTCGTTTTTTCATCTTTTTCGCTTTTTCTCAGTTGCCTTGCACTGTAATAAGTTTGCTTTTTTCTAACCTGGATAATGTCTTGAAGATTTGAAAAATTTGTATGCTTGAAAAAATAAAAATTACAGTCATTACAAACGATAAATTTTCCGTTGGTAACAAAAAAATCTCTCAGCGCTTTCATTTGTACAGAAAAATGCAACGAATGCCACCTTTTATTTATTTTAAACTTTGGAGGTACATGCCAGAACAAAAGTTCTAGCCTCTCTGTTTGTTTTAATTGAACAGTCAGTGAATTTTGGTTCCTAAAATTTCAAAAGAATAGACAGTATTTTTGGACAGCAATTTTTTTCGTTATTTCGCTCAGAATCGATTTTATTTCTGAAGTAGAAAAGTGTTTAGAAAGCTATAACATATTTACTTTATGTTTTTCTGTTTTCTTCTCGTAAATTCAATCACTAATAAAAAAGTAGTAAAAGGTAAGTAAGAAATTTCAAAGAGCTCTTTTAAAAATAAAATAGTTTGTTTCAAGCATGGTACTCTGCAGCAAAAATGATTGTTTCTATTGAAAAAATAAAAAAATAAGTTAGATTTGGTCAATAATTGGTCATAGTGTTGTTTTTTCAATAAATTTCTTGTTAACGTAATCAATATTTTTGGAATGATTACAATTTTACCATCGTTATCATGTAAATTTTTATCAGGGGCGTTGTAATTATCATCATTTCAGTCACTGCAGTGATCGCAACGCTTATCAACATTTTTGCACGACTCTTTAATTAATGGTGGTTTCACTGCTTGCTACGAAATCATCATCTTAAATTGTGATCATTGTCATTCGCTTTGTGCCATCACTATTTACGATTTAATTATTTTTTTCATATTTGTAACGCACTTAACTGAAAGGGATATTCGAGATATGAGATGAAGGAATGAATGTTAAGTAAGAGGCAGTAAGAGACTTGAAAGAAAGAAAAGTAATGCAATGCAGTCTGAAGCCAAGATCAAAGTCAGTCGCTCTTGCATTGCACGCCACTGTTGATAAAAACTGTGCACTTTCTAGTACAATATTATTTATCGCCAAGGTGAATGAATGAGAGAAGATTGCAGGATAGGGGAGAAGAAACGAGGTGTGGTTAAGCAAGAGTAAGTTATCAAGCGAGGAGGAAAGTTGAAAACCAGCTCCTGCCTCTTTACCTACCATACATACACTGCAGTATTCAATAATATTAGGGTAATCAGCACCATCTTAGTCCTCTTTTCAATTACTGCAATTAATCACTGCATATATTTATATTTCAAAGTTTTATTAATTTACTACAATTTGTCCCACAGTTAGCACTACTAACAACAGTAACCATCAAAACATACATACTATTTTCATTATCGTAATTACTACTTGTTCAACTGACTGCAGTAATTCCCATTATTGCAGTCAGTTAAATACTTAATCTTGTATTTGCATTTGTTGACTCCTCTAGCCAATAACAAAAATACATCGAATTTAACGCCCGTACTGCTTGGGGCTACCGTAATTTATTCTAAAAATTGCTTTTGAGTGAATTCGTCAGTGGTCGTGCAAATTTGTATGTATGTATCGCAAAATTTTGAAAAATAAGGTTCGATGACATTCCTGAAAGCCTATATGTTCTTGCCTTCCTTTCTTCCCCCTCTCCATTATATACTTTTTCCTCGCACTTTACCTGCTTTTTACTTTCACTACCGTAATTTCATTTAAAACTTTACAGTTTTAATGAAAAAAAAACGTGCCTAATAAAGTTTTTAAACACTTTACATACTTAATAACCTACAATACGTTACCATTATTATTTGGTAGATCACAATTCTTCTATCAATATAATGTCACTGATTATTTTGATAGTGAATGTTTATTATTGCTGTTACTGCCTAAAATCCTTTTTTCTTCTCCTCCAAATACTTTCAGATCTAGTCAACAATAAATGAACAAACCACTGGTAATCATAGTATCGGTCTAATTTTTTTTCGAAAACGATTACCAAATTTATACTTTATCATATCCTTTCACAATTTGACTTTTATAAGAATCGGATTAATAAAAAACTGAACTTTAGAATATGGAGTCGGGAAATTCTTCGAAATTCACTTCAGTTTAGAATGTAAGCAAATTGTTTTCAAAATAGGATTCTGGACAGTTCTTTGAAGCGTCATCTAATTTGAGCGTCCAATATGATTTAAAATTATCAGATAAATTGTATGCACATATAAAGAACCGCTATTAGGTAAATTCAATGCCATTAATTCTTAATGTGCCATGATGGGAGCAATTGATTAAGAGTTGCAAGTGATGTGACTTTATTTGGTGAGAAGAAATTTGATGCATTAAATACAATTGATTAATTTCTGATAACAATCTTGGGAAAAAACTTGAACTCCTATCTTTAATGAGTTATTATGATCTTCTAAGTTAAAATGACTGTTTTTTTCTTTACCAAAACAACACTGATATGAATCCATTCTCCTACTACATGTATCTTATAACAAGTCTTAAAATAATTAATTTTAATTATTACTACAAATCAGTACCAATTTTAAACTATTTCCATTACATTAAAACCTTATTTTGATTAAATTTTAAATTATTAAAAATCTTGTGAATTGATAATAACGAATTTTCTTACCAAAAGATTTTTTGAGACTTTCTTATACAGTCTTAATCGAGATCAATACGATAAAATCGCAGCTAACAATATGAGCAGAAAATTCCTGCAGCTCAACAGTTCTGCTTAATAGTACCAAAGTATTTTTATCTGTTACAGTTTGTCATTTTATCATCCAGTTTGCTTGTTACTGTACAACATAATCCATTTTTAAATTCATTTCTTTTTCTTCAAGTAATAGCTAATCGCAATGCAGCTTATAGCTTCGCATTTATATTGCATGAAACAATTCAACTTTTTTGAAAAACCACCTATTTTTCTGTCGTAATTTTCATTTTCATTTTTCGAATTACTAACAGTTCAGTAATGTCACTATCAAAAAATGTGAGAAAATTAGTCCAGCACGAAATAAGTCTTGTCTCGAAGCAAACATTCATAGTATTAGTTTTCGATGAGCTGTAACCTTGTCGCCTCTATCTCTCTACCGATTAAGTTAATAACTGAATAGCTTGTATGAGAGGAAATAAGGAAGTCAATTCTACTAAATTTTTAATTTATTTTTTGCAAAAAATTAGCTCAGACTTCAGTTTACTTTTTTAACTAGCGTACTTTTTTTCCAACTTCATGTAGTGGATAGTTATCTGGAAATTGACACTAATTTTAAACAACTTTATTAATCAGAACTTTTTCTCAGAGCTGAAAGATCAGTAAGGTAATGATATTCGTTTTCTAGTAAATGATTGAATTTTCATTGAATACAGCATCACATTTTTGACTTAATCAACCACTAACCAGTGCGATAACTCGCGTCCATTGAATAGTTAGTGTAATGAATGTTTTATACAGTGTCAAAATGATTCATAGACAAGGAAAATGATATTAGGTGAGGAACAAGCGTCAACTTTTACCATCGTTAATTAAAATTGTCAGTTTAGAGAAACTACTGAGCTGTTATAAAGTGGTTTCTTTTAGTAATAAATTTAGACGTTGTTTGCCTTAAATGACAGATTTTTCAAATGACTGAGTTCATTCATTTATCTAAATATCATCCTTTCTGTCTTCTTCGTATTCCGCCCTAGAAAATTTTCAAGGTCAAGTCTAGTTGTAAACAGAGTAATTTTTTGTTTGCTAATTAGTTCAACAAGTTGTTTCTGCTTATTTAGTCCCTTTTATATGATTTTTACATTTTTGAATGAGCTAATGCATTCAACAGGGATTTATTTATGAGTTTCTGCAGAAGTTATCCAATTTGTTCTCGCTAATGAATATATAAATTTAAGATTGCTGCAATGTTGATACAAAACATGCTGATAATGAAAAATATTTTATAAATACTCGACTAAATTTATTTTCTCTTTCAAATTTGAAGTATCCTTTTTAGAAATATGATTTCAAAATCAGCATAAAAAACTGAATTGTAGACGTTTTCAGCCTAAAAACCGAACCATTAATAGAGTTTGGGGAAAACTTGGAAGATGGAAGTATGGAAGTACCAGAGAAGAATTCAAGTGAATCAAGCCCTTCGCCAAGCAATTCATTAAATAATATAGATGAAACTACTTCTTATACGTCATCCGACCTCGGTTATTTTAGTGCAGTATCGAATCATTTAACACTTTATTGAATACTGTTAGCAACGACACAAATAATTATTATGAGAAAACAATGCATTCTTTTCTTCTTATCTTGGAGATGGGTTGTAGAAGGAAAAACGTGCGAACTTTAATGTCTATTTCTTCTTAAGTACAACCTTAAAATAGCAATAATAGAAATAATATTATATCAGATCTTCGAAAGTACTGCAGTAAAGAATTAATTCACTTACATTTTTCTTGAAAACAGTTTTATGCACTAATCGAACCGAATTTCGTTGAACTGTGAATTTACAAAAATTTTTTCAGCAGAGAAGCCATTTACATGCGAACATGTTAACTGCCATAAGCGGTTCGCAAACAAATTTTTATTAAAGAAACATCAATTTATTCATACCGGACTACGACCTCATTGCTGTCCGTTTTGTGGCAAAAGGTACTTTGCAATCTTTTTAGCTTTCCCAACGCTCTAATCAGTGAAAATAACGAGTCAAAATAAAAGTTTCAACTGTCTACGTTTTGCATTGAATGAAAACATCTCAAGTTGGTAAAATATGATTTAGAATGAAAAATAAGAA